GAGCGTAATTTGAATCAATTATCCCTAAAATGATTAACTTTGCAGTTGAAAGATGCCGAAAGTGAAGACAAATCGTGTGAAATACCCAGAAGGTTGGGAATTAATTGAACCAACAACTTCAGGAGCTAGAATCTAAGATGAGAGAAGGTAGGTTTGGCTAATTTGATTTCAATTTGTTCCTGTAAAATACTCGATTTTGGTCGAAACGTCGATTAACGATGTTTGATCGATTATGGTTGAATTGGCAGCTCAAATGGATTCTCATGATGGAAAGAGAAAGTGTGAAACATTGTGGCCAGTTTTCAAAATTGCTCACCAGAAGAGTCGTTACATTTATGATCTTTATTATAGAAGTGAGATTTCCAAAGAGCTCTATGAGTTTTGTTTGGACCAAGGCTATGCTGACAGAAACCTTATTGCTAAGTGGAAGAAGGTATAACTTTCATCTCAACCCGTTTGGTTGCTTTATTTACTGCGAAATGCTATCAAGCTCTAAATTTATGTATCCTTGCCGGTGTCGTTTGGTTGCACAAAAGAAATGGGGGAAATAGAAAATCATTGGAATTTAGATATTGGGGTTTTGTTTGGTTGACCACAAAACATATAATTGTGGGAATTTCAAATCCATAGGAATTTCCTATTCCCTCAAAACATGGGAATTTCCAATTATGCTAGTTATTAGCCTATTTTATTGACTAATTTGTAGGCACGACATTGTGATATTGCGTCGTGAATACTTGCTCGATGAGTGGAATTCCACCATTCCAATTTACTAGTAAGTTTCTTGGACGTTGTTAAACCAATGTTATTAAGGTCTACATGTATGTATCCTAGCTCAAAACTTGTAGAATTTGCTGAAATCAACACTTCATTGTTACCAAAGTGTTACTCTGTTGTCCACTTCTCCTGCTTATATTATTCACATTGTTGTTGATTGTTATTAAATAATTGTATACCTGTATGACATACTTTTGACATTTGTATTGGTGGACTATGTTCATACCCTCCCAATTACTCGATTTAAAGGAGGGTATATCAGCAAGATCTCTTGGAAGACTTTTTAATTTTTTAGAAGTGTGACAGTTTCTTCTGGACGTCTTAATATAGTACATGTATGTGTTGCTTATATTTTCAGACAGATGAAGTATAATTTCTGAGTTTAGCATTTTCTTTGTCAGACTGAATCAACAAGCCATTATTGAGCTTAAGCTAAAATAATATTAGGAACTGTGCAAACTATGAACATAGTCTTTGCTTGATCATTACTGATATCCATTGAATCTAAACTATCTTGTTCTCGTATTGATGTAAGTAATGCTGATAGTGTGATATTCATATTAGGGGATGACACTGTTTCAATATTACTGATAGATGTTTTTGTTTTGCCTCTGATTTGCAGCAAGGATATGAGCGTCTGTGTTGCCTGCGTTGCATACAACCACGAGACCATAACTTTGGCACAACTTGTGTTTGCCAAGTGCCCAAGCATCTGAGGGAGGAGAAAGTCGTAGAATGCGTTCACTGCGGATGTAGGGGTTGTGCTAGTGGGGATTAAGTTGCAATCCTTGGATGTGGGATGTTTAGTACTATGTTGTAACTATTTGCACAACCAATGACTAATTTTGCTATCTTGATATAGCATCATGCTTTGATTATTTAGGTTATGTCAAGTACATCTTAGAAAAATTTATCTGTGAAAGTGATTTGTAAGGTATGTCATGACCTACCAAAACTCATCAAAACAAATGGGAATATGAGATAGTGATTTGCACGCTGGATTTGGTAAAGCAGATGTCCATAATTACACTTTTGTGCAATAATAATGAATAGTTGCATAATGTTTTGACAACAGCAAACATTTGAAGAGACGGAAAAAAAGATGATGTTAAGTTGAGATAATGTTTCATTTAAATCCCTTTTATCAAATCTACCGGTTTCGTTTCAATTCTATCATTTGAGCCTGGATCAAACTAATAATGAACCTAACCAAATGCCCTCAAAATATATGTAACCAAATAAAATGAATACAACTAGGGGCTATATGAAAATAGTATAGTGCACCCGGGTGCACCATGCGCATGGTGTACCCGGAAAGAACATTAGACTTATTTTAAAGAACATACGAGTGTTTGAAAAAGAACATGCTAGTATTTGAGAAAGAACGTGCATAATAGTGTTCAACACAAGAACATGTTTGTGTTTGACAAAGAACATGACCTCCGAAAAGAACATTAGGCATATTTTAAAGAAACATGGAATAAAAAGAACATGTTAGTGTTTGAAAAAGAACAAGTCAGTGTTTGAAAAAGAACATGCTAGTATTTGAAAAAGAACATGCATAATAGTGTTCAACAAAAGAACATCTTTGTGTTTGACAACGAACATGACCTTCGAAAAGAACATTAGGCATATTTTAAAGAACATGGAATAAAAAGAACATGTTAGTGTTTGAAAAAGAACAAGCTAGTGTTTGAAAAATTAACCTTGCTTGGTTATCTTCCAGTTGGCTTCAATTCATTACTATTCTTCTTTCTCCTCTAATTGTTCTTTTTTGAATAACTTGTACTTTATAGCTTTAATTTTTTATTTTATTTTTTTAAAAAAAACCCCAAATTCACAAAATTAAACACTTTGACTTTAAAATTATTGACGAAAAACAATTTGCATGTACAAAATGTATACTTACATTTTACTTGAATCCACCATTTGTTTAAGTTTGAAGGTTGAATTGTTGAAATAAGTTCAATTTTTTTCTTGGGTTTCACTTTGAAGACGAACAATTTTACTATTTTGAAATTTTTTTGAAAAATAGAAAAAAAAAAATAGAGAGAAAAGTTATGGAGAGAGAAAATGAGTACTTTGGAAATGATTTTTACCCAAATTCATTGAAATTCTTAAATGAAAACGATGGTGTAAAGGAGAGTAAAAATTGGCAGCAAGAAAGAGAGTGATAGGAAGGGAAAGAGGAGTGAGAAATTGCAGGAGAAGAGAGTGATGGATTTGCAGTTGCAAGAAAATAAAAACATGTTCATTTTTTACCCATGTTCTTTTAAATATACTAAATGTTCTTTTGGGTGCACCATGCGCATGGTGCACCCGGGTGCACCAACCACAAATTAGGGGCTATAATTGAGTGAGCCGAGACTAAGCTCTTGGGTTGCTTGCTTATTACCCTGGCATTCAAACTCGAGCTGAATCTCGAGCTTTTTTGAGCTTAGATGCAAGTTCAATTTTCCATATAACTCAAATTTTGAGTTAAAATTTTTTAACTGATTTATTTTATTTTACTAGTTTCTCATAGTTGTTTGCATTTTTACTACTCCTTGTTAATGCATGTTAAAGTATATGGAATAAAAAATACAATAGTTAAGAAAAAACACATATACAGACATTTTGACCTGTTCACGAGATTGACAAGTAAAAATATGTTGAGCTAAGCTCATGAATGATTTGAAGTGAGCTCAAATATTTCACGAACTAGTTCAGCTAGTTAAAAAATTAAAACCTCAAAATACAACCACCTCCCTAATCTTTCAACAACTAGATTTCAAAATTATGACAAATTTTTTCTATTGCATCAATAGCAAATCTAAGGAAAATAAAATTTTATGTGCAAGTGGTATCCCAAATAATAAACTTGAGATCCAAAACTCAATGTTGTCAGAGAAGATCTGATCATCAATTCATCACATAAGCAAAAGACTCCTTTTTGTTCTCCCATTTTAAAGCTTTCATCCTATCTTATTTTTTTCTTTTTTGTTTTGTACTTTTAAAAGTGGCTTTAAAGGGAGGGTTTCAAGCCTTTGCCTAGATGGTTCTGGTCACTCCCACAACCCACTAATTGTGAGAAAAACACAACTAAGTTAACTTCCAGATCTCATTTATCAGATTAATTAAAACAAATTACATTGCTTTTGGTTGTAAAGATTCAATTTTTTGTCCAGTCGAGAGCAAAGAGAATATTTGCTACTAGAACAAGTTCGGATCGATACCCTATAAGAAAACTTGTACAAGTCATACGTATCATATAAATTTAGTACAGAAAAGAATGCAATAGTGCATACATAGTAATGCAGAAGGTAACAGAACTACAGATGTCTGCATATTATCAGAGCTGGTAATAATTTTAATCTGTTTCAGTTTTTTTATTGCACCCTGCAAGCAACTTTAAGAACAATAATCATAATTTGAAACAGCCTCGATTCATTTTCGAAAGGCCTTGAAACAGATTACTGATACAACTGTGGCAACTTAAATTAGCTTATTATATTGATAACACAGAAACACCTGGATGCATATAGTAGGTGTAAGGGTATTGCGAGGACCGGAAATAGCTCCAATCAATAGCTAAGGACTGCTGTCCCAATGCTTAAAACGATACAAAAATCAAATGGTGAAACGAAGCAACAATCATATGATGGAAGGAAAAATGCCGCCTAGATTTATTTTTCTTTAAGGATATCAGGTTGTTAATTTGTTATTGATTTTAGATATCGGCGTGTCAGCGTGAATGATTTTAAAATGGTTTTTGGTTGTGAGGAATGTTGTAGATTATTAAGTATATATTCAAAGTAAATTATGAGCAAGATAAATGAAGAAAGTTTGCTACTGGATTAAACTTGAATTGTAACCTATAAGGCTAATTCTAAGGTTTTAATCAGTTCTTTAATTAACATAATCTCATTTGCAGAAGGGAAAAAAAAAAACACAGTTTTTTTTTATGTTCTTTCTTATAAGATACTACTAATAAAGCTTGCAGTTTTATCAGACCTGGTTAGAAGAAACCTTATGACAGTTGCACTTTGCACTTCCTGCAGATTTATGAAGCAAAATGAACATCTTTTTTAATTCCAAAAGGCTGCCAAACTACTAAGGATTAGAAACAATTTATAAAGTACAATAAACATTAAAATTAGTCATTCACCAAGTAAAAGCTAAGCTAAAATAAAAATTATGTACTTCCCTTTATGATCATAATAAGGCAAACATACAATACCATTCAATTCTGGAATGAGCCCATCGATGTTTTGCGATAATACATGACATGCTCTAGATTGCAGTAGTTAGCTTAGAAAATAAGCTCATGCTAGATCGTCTGAACTTAAGATTACATTAGACTCTAGATTTAATGTCCCTTAACACAGTCAAGGGAACTACTTCTTTAACAAGCCGGAAAATGTGAACATCAAAGACAGAATTATTCTTGTGACCCAAATTTCCTTTCTGAAGCAGCTCAAATACACAAAAGTCATGCTCCTCGAGATTGTTCTCTAAAACAAAAGTCGACCACCCTTGTCTAAACTGACATTGCAAAGGTGTCCATCTGCATCCCAGTGTCCAACTCTCCTCTACTCCTGGAACCCGGAGTATGACATCATGATCAGACTTCTGAAGCAAGTGTTTTACAGCCCATTCTTTAGGGATGGTCTGCAGCCACGGTAAACCAAACTAGCTTAGATATGATTATTAAAAGATGTTCTACTTTTACATTGAGAGTAGTAAAATGGTTATGATAATTATGTCACTCTTATTAGATTAGGTCCTTACGGTGAGAAAGTAAATTACTATGAAAAACAAGGTGTAGAAGGATGCCATACCAGATGAAAGCCGCGATAAACATGTGTGTGCTTCATCACAATTTCTATCATATGACATCTCCAACTCATATGAATAATGGCCTTGTTAAGTGCACCTTGCTTCTCTTGCTCTGTAACCTTCCGCCTCCTTGATTTGTAATACTTTTGAGGTTATCTCACTGCAAATTAATTAAATCGCAATTGCATACACTTAGAGGTATAGATATCAAACAAATGAACCAATCACACTAGCATTGATTGCAGTTATAAATTCTTGTTGAAAAATGTTTGATAGATTTTATACCTTGAGGTGTTCCACTTCTCACATTCAGACGAAGTTTATGAAACCTCTTCTCGTGATCAGATGATAATTCCAGATCTTCCTCTTCATGTATCTTCCCTTTTGCTTTCCCTTTATCTGCAGCATGACATATTGCACTCTGACTGCCTCTGAAATTGTTTTCTTGAGATGAAGCATCTGAATCATATTCCTCATCCACTGCGATTACTTCTACAGAGCCATCAATATCAGCTTCCAATGTTCTTGCACCTTTAGATTCATCGTTCTCCACGTGTAAAAGGCTTCTACAAGAAGTGTTCAAGGACATGTTTGTATTCCTTGTGAAGTGCGGACATTCTACCTCACATCCAGTAACATCAAAAACCGATACCTCAAAAGAAGAGTCCCCAACATAGCAAAAGACCAAGAAACAACCATACTTAATACCATGATCAGTCACGAAGTTACCCCAACCATCTGCAAACAGGACATCTTTCTCAGTTTTTTGTATTTGAACTTTCCATATATTCCCGCTTTGACCTCTTAGAGTGCAAGAGCTTGAAAGGTCTGCTCTAGAGCATTCAACAAATTTTCTAGGAATTCGCTATAGAAATTTTAATCAAAAATCAACTGTGTTAGATCTAATATATGACTTAAGTATTAATAATAGGAATTCTTTAAGGCCTATCAGGTGTGTTAACTTACCAGCTGTTGCTCAAAATACCAACCATCAACTTGAAAAACCGGTGCTTCCTAGGTGGAACATGCCAATACTTGTCCTTCTCTAAACTCTAAAGCCTTACAAGTTTCACAAACATATGTCATTTTGCTTTTAACTTAAAATACTCTTCAATGTATCAACCACCTGAGACACCCAACAAAAAAAAAAAAGCATTCAGATCAATAAAATACTTCTTGAAATCATAGGATGACACAGCGGATTCCTCTAATGTGTTTGTAAGAAAACATTGATCTAAATTTTTATGACAAAAGGAGAGATCATGACTTAACTCCATATATTCATTCTGAAAATAAAAGAGTTTGACAAACCATGGAGATTTTTATTCTAACAATAAATAAAGAAAAAATAACAAAAAAACCTTAGAAGTTTGGTAACTCAGAAAAGTATATAGAAAGCACAATAGCTGGCTCCCGCTCAAATTTTTGTAGCTATTTGTTTCACAGAAGGTGTAGCAAACAAATATTTTGATGAGAATAATGGAGAAGATTAAAAAATGACAAGGATGATTAATTGGCATAGCTAATGATTTTGCCAGTTTTGTAAAGCTCAACTGCTCAAGTCAATGATATCAGATAAGGAAAGAATCACAGAAGTGTAGAGGGAATTTTGGGAAAGTTTAATAATGATATATGGAGGGTCTATTTATTTTAAACTTGAGAATGACATTAAACTAATTTTCAGAGTAATGGTTTACGGAGTATTTCTTCTCATATTATTTATTGTTATATGTGTGCCTCGAATGCTCCATGTTGATATATGTTTTAGTATTATGGTGTTTGGAGCTTTAAGCAAAGAAGCATGGAAAGGGCTGACTTAAAATGAGCATATCTCAAGATATAGAAGTGATATTGAGATGATTCAAGTTGGACGTGATAGCTCTTCTCAAGAGCTTTCCAACGACTGGTCATAAGCTTGATTTGGTTAAGAATCGAGGGAGTTATGACTGTTTAAAGAAGTGCTGTCCGCGCAGGGGGAGTTCGACCGAACCATTTAATAGGTTCGGTCGAACCTTTTGGAAGAACTGATGCCCTTTTTTTATTTCTAGAGTAGGTTCGGTCGAACCTATGGAGGTGTGACCGAACCAGTTTAAGTTCGACCGAACTCTGGGTAGGTTCGGTCGAACCTTCGAGCCCTTGTTCCAGCGCTACGATTTCTTCTTATTTTGCTCGGATGTAATCTTAACCGTTGATTCATCTTGCACTATATATACTCTTGTTTTTCATTGTAGAGAGGACGAGAGAGAAACACAAGTGAGACTTAGACCTTAAATTAGCTCACCAAGAACACCATCTTTCTCCATTGTAATTCTTCCTCCATTGAAGAGTAATACAAGCTCCAATCTCTCCAAAAGTGGATGTAGCTCATTTTGAGTGAACCACTATAAATCTTGTGTGTTTTATTTTGTTCATTTTTAATTGCTTTCTCATTTAGCTTTGCATTGTTCCTCAATCAAATTTAAAGTCCCAAAAAGGTCCTATTTCATAACATTTATGAAGAAAAAAAATTAGTTTCCTTGGGTATTATGCAATTCGACAATTTCCTATGTTAGGCACCTACGATTGTAAGTGAATATGCAACACTTTTTTGTTTTTGGTAAGAGATTAACATAAACGAAAGACAAAAAATCAGCAGCAGAAACTGTCAAATTATAGGAGTTGTAGGCTTAACCGGCACTGTTTCTTGAAAACAAAAGATGCTCCTAGGAATTCGGGTAATGAAATCAAGATGTCTTAGAGCTGGGCCCAATAAATGTCTGAATTTCCCTCAGCTACGCCTTGTTGTCCGAGAGCTAAGCCTGCAAAACAAAGAGGGTTAGCTACCCCGGGGGTGTGACCCGGGAACGCCCCTCCGATGCTAAAGTCAGCGAATGTCTCTAAGAGAGAGAAAGTAGTGAGAGAAAGAGTAATTAGAGAGAGAAAGTAGAGAGAGAGAGAGCAAAAGTCCCCTTCATTAATGATTGGAGAGCTATTTATAGTTGTACTTTTCAGGTGCCATGAGTTGTACTTAATTTGACAGATTAAGGGTAAATCTGTACTTTGCAACCATTTATGATGGGTTGGGTCATGGAGGGCATTTTCTTCATTTGAGGTCAATGGGCTAAGGCCAAGGGACTAGGCCCAAACATTTAGCCCCACGCGTGATGTTGGAACGAGATCGCATGAAGTTCAGAAGTCACGCGAAATGAGCATAATTGAAGTTGTCATATCAGTCGAAATGACTTTTAAGGAGTACTCGAGGGCTAAAATGAGCCCCAAGTGTTCCCAGGGGCTAAAAAGAGCCCCAAAGCGACTTGCAAGGGTAAAGACCAGCCCCAAGCAATGCATTGGAAATACTTTAATTGCAAGAGCTAACTTGTTGTAAAATAGTCCGAGAAATAGGCTTGATAATAGATAATGACTGAAAGCATGACAAATCTTGATAATCTTCAAAGAGGTAAGCCTTAGGTAAGCTTCATGCCTAGCTAAGAGCATGACTCGTCTTGATCTTCGGCTTAATTAGCTTGGGCCTAAGGAACATTGAGCCCATTTATCCGAATCCTACGTGAGTAACATTTCTTTTGGTCTTCATATGGGCCCCTCACCCTTGACTAACCACTTGCAAATTATTAGAGATCAGACTTTGGATTTTAGCTTCCAAGGCACACCGTATGCATATCCCACCGAGGGCCCACCAAGAAAGCATTTGGTTATTGTGTTAGGCTCAGTTGAGCTCTCGGGTTTTTAGGGAAATCAATCCATTTTTTATTTGTAAAATAAATTGAGAATACCGAGGGGTTGCTGGTAGTTTTGGGTTGTCTGAAAGACGCAAGCCGAGGGTTTTTCGGGGTTTACTTGGGAATTTTTAGTTCTTGAATTTTCTAGGGTAAGAAAGGCTGAAATCTGGGGTATGTGAGGTTTGAGAGATGAGGCTGGGCGGAGGTAAGATGTGAGAAAGGAGGGTGCAATGCCGAAGGCTTAGCTTAAGACCCGAGGTATGGTCAGGCACCTATACCCGAGTGAGGGAGCGAAGTGAGCAGCGAGATTGAGGAAATGCGGAGGGAGGTGCGACAGGCCGAGGGGGTATGTGCACTATGTCGAGGGGGTATGAGGTGCCCTGGCGCTGAGGTTGTAAGAGGAAACCGAGAGGATACGCCGTGTTTAAGTAGTGGGCTTATTTGAGTGAGTGACAGTTAGATCTGGAGCTTCGCCAGGCTCAGCGAGGGTGAAGAAGGGAGAGAGAATATGTGCAGCCGGGGGGACTTGAGGTTGATATGCGGATAGCTAGCTGAAAAAGAGGTGAGATAAAGGAGGGAACGAGGTATGCCCAGGAGAGGGAGAGCTGGGCCCTCGGCTTGGTTGAACGGGTGCCAGGCCGAGGGGGTTGTTATGCGGAGAGTGCGGGTGCGAGCTACCCCGAGGTGGGGGAGGAACGAGAGAGGTTCGCGCGACAAACCCGAGGGAGGAGAGAGAGATCGACTTGGGGTATGAGTGCGGAGCAATGCGAGAGGTTTTTTCGGGTTTTACTTGCGATTTTTTTTTTTTGATTTGAGTGTTACCCCGGGGTGAGGGGGAGCTATACCCCGGGGTGAGGGAGCTATACCCCGGGGTGAGGGGGAGCTATACCCCGGGGTGAGGGAGCTATACCCCGGGGTGAGGGAGAGCTATACCCCGGGGTGAGGGAGCTATACCCCGGGGTGAGGGAGTTATACCCTAGGGTGAGGGAGCGCTATACCCCGGGGTGAGGGAGCTGTACCCCGGGGTGAGGGAGTATTGAGTGAAATTGAGAGCTACACCCCGGGGTGAGGGAGAGCTATACCCCGGGGTGAGGGAGCTATACCCCGGGGTGAGGGAGTATTGAGTGAGAGTGAGAGCTATACCCCGGGGTGAGGGAGCTATACCCCGGGGTGAGGGAGTATTGAATGAGAGTGAGAAGAGGACATGCTCTCCGGGGTTTTAAGGTAGTTTGATTGTTACCCCTAGGTGAGGGAGGAGTGAGCGAAGGTGAGATGCGAGAGTGATGTGTGACAACCCCAGGGGAAGAGAGAGAGCTAGGGCGAATGAGAGATGGGATTAAGGGGAAGAGCTAATTAAGCTCTCGGCTCTTCTGCTACCCCGGGCCGAGGGAAGGGTGAGTAGTGTTATGTTTTTTGGCTTAAGTGAGGACTTGCCGAGAGGGTTGTCATGCCAGGCCAAGGGGGTGTCACGCCTAGACGAGGGGTTGTCGATGCGCGCCGAGGGCTTAGCCCGGCTTACTACCCCTATGCGAAGGTGAGTAAGGCAAGCCGACTTGGAAAATGCAAGGGACGTGAATTTTTTCTTGAGTATAGCTAGGCATAGCCGAAAATTGTGCTTAAATAGACAAGTTCTTTTACTTAGAAAAATTTGAGGATTAAAGACGAAATAGTGGAGGGAATATAATTTTGTAGTTGTATTGAGCTTAGGGCATTCGGCTTATCCGAGTGCTGAAGGGGTTGGTAGCAAGCCTAGGGTGTCACTCGAGTGCCGAAGGGGAGAGAGTTTTCTTTCTTTTATGCGGATAGACTAAGATCTTGGGTGTTGATGAGGAGAGAGCCGAGAACTTTTATACCTTGGCCCGAGGAACTTTGAGAATAAAAACCCAAGAAACTTTGTATCCCCGGGCGGAGGTACTTTGACAACAAAACCAAGTGCGTAATACCCCTAGGCTGAGGTACCTTGAGCAATAAACCAAGTATTGTACACCCCTAGACGGGGGTATCTTGAGATATAAACCAAGTATTCTATACCCCCAAGCGAAAATACTTTTGAGATATAAACAAAGTATTTAATACCCTAAGCCGAGGTACTTTTGAAAATAAAATCAAGTGACTTATACCCCCAGGTGGAGGTACTTTGAGATATAAACCAAGTGTTTTATACCCCAAGCCGAGGTATCTTGAGAAATAAACCAAGAAGCTTTATACCCCGGGCGGAGGGAGGCTGAGAGAGTGATTGAATAGGCCGAGCGGAGGGAGGCCAAGTTGAGAGAGTGATTGAATAGGCCGAGCGGAGGGAGGCCAAGTTGAGAGAATGATTGAATAGGCCAAGCTAAGAGGGTGACTCAATAGGCCGAGCGGAAGGAGTAA